AATTTCTTCCGAAAGATTCGATTTTGATTTCTGGGTTTGTGTGTTTTTGTCGATTGATGAAATGGGTGTGTGTCATAATTAACTGTGATGAGCCCAACAGACCTGTAATGATTTGCGGGCATGATCGCAATCATTAATGAACATCTAAGGGACTGAGTTATGTCGTGTAGATCTCGTTTTTATAAATCGTTGTTGCATGTCAACTGTGTATGATATCATGTTTTTGTGATTTTAATCTTAGTTGAAGTTAAAATGGCTTCGGATCTCAATGTGGTATATGCTTGCTCATATTCTGTTTTACATTTTGTTTGGCAAAATTTTAGAATTTGAGGAATTGATGATTTAAAATCCAGATATTTAGATTATTGATATTGGTGTTTTGAAGCCATAGGTGAGTTGTTATTTTGCAATAGATTCAATTTTCCTTGTTTGTAAGAGTATTTTGATTTCTACTTTGAACTTATGACACGGGTATTAAATTTATCTTCGAAGTATTATAGCTTTGGTAGATTGGGATGAAGCAAAGTATATAATCCAACACTTGATCTGAGATAATTGAGTGATTGTAAACCTACCTTTTTGCTACTGAATCTACCAGGTGCTGTACTTTTTTCTCTTAGATCATTACGGCAAGTTATGTCAGTGAATCAAATGATGGAAATTATCTCGTTTTTGTTAGTTATTTTCCTTCACTCAGTTGTTCATCCTAAAGAGTATAACAGGTTCTTGTTGTGCCAGTGTTTTGTGATGTGATTTTAGATTAGATTTAATGAAGTTCGGATGCTTTTGGCTTTACCTAGTTGCATTAACTACTTTCTATGTGAATATGTCTGGTTGATTTGGCCATAGTTCGTAGTAGCTGGATCCGTAAGTTCCCTCCATTTCCTTTTTTCCTTTGTCTCACGTCAAGCGATGAAATTGGAAAAATCTTAGGACACCTTCCTACACAGCAGAAGTTGCTGTGGATGAGAATAATTTTCCATGCTGATGATGTGCTGACATGATGACAGTGCAATCGGATATTCGTTTCAAATACTTCCAATATCTTAAACTTTTTCATATTTAGTTCATATAAATCGTGTCGTCGTATCAACAACATTGGTCCTAGGTCTAATGTATACATTGTCAATTCAAATTAGACTATTATCCTCATTTTTTAATTTATCTTTTTCAAAAGTTAATATTTCTAAAATTATTTAAAATTTCTAGTATGATTAAGCAAAAATCAGAAAAATATAATTTATGAAAAAAAAATGTCTTGTCCAAAAAATTTCAGTACCTTAATTACTAATATGTACCATCATCAACGAGGAACAAAAATGTCTTGTCCAAAAAATTTCAGTACTATAATTTATTACCCAGAAAGCAATTCTTTTTCTTCTTCTGTAAAAACAGAATCACAGAACACAGGAGGGGGATTTTTTTATTTTGTTTATGGTTGCTCCAAAAAAAAAATGAAAAAAGTCTTGATACCAAAAGAAAAAGAAAAACAGAAGAAGAGAGGCAGAGAAACCTCAAGTTTCTTGCACCCATGAGCCCATAATCATGAACCTTCCAACCTATTAAAACCCAACACATTAATGTCGTGTATCATTGACCGAACCATCATCAAACCCAGCCAGATTGTTTGCCCATAATGTTACCTGACCATTTTGTGTGTGTAGAATATGTAACGAATGTGCAAGCAACTCATGTGAAAAAAATTAATAAAAAAGTAAAATATCTAAAAGTTAAAGGAAGGACAGCATAATATATCTTTTCTCGCAGGAGGTTAGGATTAGATTGGTGATAATATAAACATGCATAAAAAATATAGAATAAATATTATTTTTGGTCTATAATAAAAAATACGGTCTTCATTTTAGTTTTTTACAAAAAAAAAAAAAAAAAAAATTCAAAGTGGATCCATTTAGTTGAAATCGTGATCCTTCATAAATTCAAAAAAGACCTATATTAGTCCTTCGAAAGGACTAAAATTGATCCACTTTGAATTTCTTAAGGACCTTGACACTAATTATTTTTTAAAGGACTAAAGTAAGGACCGCATTTTTTATTAGGGACCCAAAAGATATTTATTCAAAAATGTAAGATTCCTAAAAGTTGAAAAACAAAAAATATTTTAATATGATATAGAGAGAAGCATTTGTTTATAAATTTTTTTTACAAATTTTACAAATTATAATATGTTTTCTAAAAGATATAAAAATTTATAAATAAAAAATTTATAAATATAACCATCCCTCCCTGTCATAGATTTAACAAACATTAGTTTCCTTGATCCATGTCCTCCGCGCCTATTTTTTTTAAGCCATGCCATATAATTGATTTGTCTTTGTATGCATTATATTAATGAATAATAATGACAATAGCAAACTTCAATTCTTCAGGTCTATGTTCATACACATCCTCGAAACAATTATTATTATTTTTATAGAAAAATATTTCTGCAATTACTACAGAAAAATTATTTATATTTACTCCCAAAATGATATTTTTTTGTGAATGAAAAATTAAAAAATTATAATTATAAAGACTATAATAACTCTGAAATAAATTAAAATTACAAAAAATACCATAATTTCTGCTCCAAAACAACGTCGTATTGAACTCACGGTAGATAATTTATTTACAATTACTACAGAAAAAAGTGAACCTTATTTTTAACTCATTTCTTTTTCCTTACATTATAATAATGTTGGTAGTAATTATGGCTCACGGTATTTTGGTCAAGGATCCAAATATTATTATGCAATTGTTGTTACGATACCTGTATATAATCAACTTGATTTGAATACTTTTTTTTGTTGACCGAATATATTACTATGGGCAATATTACTCTTATGCAATAGGAAAAAAATTTTATCTTATGTCCATACATCGATACTTGTGCCATTTATTTTTTATTTTTTTTCATTTTTTTTCTATTGAGTCCCACTTTAAATTGAGTGTGTAGGAGATAACAAAATTTTTATGTGACATAAGACTACAATTACCCTATTACTATACCAAGTGCTTTAATAAATTGAAATAAAAATTATCATATTACAACTATCATAAAGGGATTAGCTGAGTTATTATAGTTTGTTAATCTCATTATTTTTAGAATCATTTGGATTGTGACAGTTTGATTATTTTAAGGGGAATATTACTCTCATGTGACATGAGAGAATTTTTCTCTCATGCACTCACAACTTAGAGGAGAGAGGAGAGAGAATAGAGGAGAGAAAAAAAATAAAGAGTGGACCCCACCTTTAATTTGTGAGTGCATGAGAGATTAATTCTCTCATGTCACGTGAGAGTAATATTCCCCTTATTTTAAACCAAGAACCTTTTTTGCCATTAACTAAAGTGGAAGTCAGTTGAGTCGTGATGGCTTGTTAACTTCACCTATGTTGTTTTGACTTGTTTTGTGATTCAAAATTCATTTAAATTTATCACAGAATTTATAATAATAAAAATTATAATATGAAATTTATTTTAAAAGGATTAGCTGAGTTGAGCCAGCTTGTTTTTTTTTTTTGGTAATCTATGGGGTTAACAACAAAACCCCAAAGAGATCAATTCAATAAAATCGTTCTGAAATTACAAGATAAAGACAAATCAGCCCAATACAAAGGCCAAATACCAGGGGGAGGGTTTGAAAAAACACAAAAATTATTCTCAATAGTATAGTCTAAAGGATATTTAAAAAGCCAATCTGCACAACTATTTCCTTCTCTAAAAACATGAACCAGGTGAACTTCCCAATTCTCTTGTAACCATGCTCGAATCCGAGTTACTAAGCGAGACTCTCGAGCTGCTCTTACACTGCTGGTAAACAAAGTGATAACTGAGCTTGAATCACTTTCTAGGATGCAGCGTCTCCAACCTCTAGCTCAAGCATTGTTTCGAATTATTTAGGTTTAGGTTGCGACAGCTTGATAATCCAAAACCATTTAATCCAAAACTTTCAAATAAATTTCTTTAAAATTATTTTCAAAATTAACATCAATCAAAACACAAGTATTTTTTTTTACAGAACGACGTAGCTTTGAGTTCCCTATTGTACCGAGGGATACGTCGGAGCAGACCTTTCCCGTCCAGTACAAAAACAAATTTTCAAATATTAGTTTTCTTTTCTTTAATCATTTTGTTTAATTCGTTGGGGTTAAATAATTATTTAAAATATTATAAATAATTTACAAAATTAATATAAGTTAACAGTTCTTTTTTTTAAAAAAAAAGGACAGTGTAGGGTGCTGTCATGGACCAGAGAAAGGCCCACAGCAGCAAGAAGCCCAACCAACATCAGCCCAGAGGTAAGCTCTATAAATAGGACTAAAGACCACAGGTATGACGGATCTCTCTAACCCTATTTCATTTAAGACACGACAGTGCACACACACACCCCTTCTGGCTAAAGCCATCATATAGTGTGTAGTGATCAGCTGTCCCCAAGATACCTAGTTCATAGGTATCTAGAGAGAAAGTTCTAGATCCAACATCAAAGACCTGACATTCTGTCGGACATATCTGCCTCAGGCAGAACATTGGCGCCGTCTGTGGGAAACGAACCCACGACCACGTGATCAAAAGCCACGATGGTGAGAGCAACAAGAAGTGGATTTCGACAGCCATCGAGATCGAATTCCAAAATCTAGCCTATTTCTCCAATTAGGGAGAATCCTCTGGATCGATAGCAGATAGATGCCGACGTCGTGCACGTGAGTGATGTGCATTCCGATTCGGCATCGACTCCAGCTGTTAACCAAGACGCTCCTTACGTGCAGGGTTTACAGCCGATGGAGGAACAAATAGCAAATACTACACAAGCACCGATTGGTGCAGTTGCTGATTCGCGGGTAACAGATCTGGCAGTTCCCGCAGTGCTTCGAAGAATGCAGGAGATGGAGGGGAGACACAGGCTGGAAAGGGAGGAAGCTGCCAGACAAATGCGAGAGCTGGAGGCTCGAGTGGGTCAAGCTACCATCCTGAACCCGGAGTAGGCAATAACATGGGTCATGAATGACCTACGGATTGTAGGCACCCAGGCGAACCCTAATAGGACTCAGGCCCAGGGAAGAGGGGTTGGAAACGTCGGAAGTCGGCCTCAAAGAAGCACCCCCAATGTGGTTCATAATCAAGGACCCGAGGTTCTCAATAGGAACGGGGAACAACAAGAGAGACCGAACCTGAACTCGAACCCGAACGATGTGTCCGGGGTCTACAGGAGGAAGTATCATAGGGGGCAATATAATGACAGCCCCTTCGCGGACAAAATTGTGAATGCACCATATCCAGAGAACCTAAATCTGTCTGACATTCCAAAATACGACGGAAGGCAAGACCATCAGGTGCATTTGGATGTCTTTGATACGACAATGTATATTAAGGGGATTGAAGAGCCGCTGATAACCCGATTATTTGCAACCACCCTGACAGGAGCAGCTCAGGCGTGGTTCTCCTCTCTGCCAGCAGGATCCATCAGGTCGTTTGAAGAGTTCGGAGGCAAGTTCTTGCTAAATTTTGCTACAAGCAAAAAACAGCCGAAGTCCAAATTCGCGCTGGGGAAAATAAAGCAGCAGCCTGGCGAAACCCTGCAAAATTATTTGGACCGCTTCAAGATGGCCGCGTTACAAGTTCCTGGGCTATCCGAAAATGTTCACCTTCATTTGGTGATTGCCGGCCTTCACGAATCTTCCAGGTTGGCCAAGTCCGTCTATAAAGACCCTGTACGAACTCTAGTTGAGTTCACTACTTGTTCCAAAAAATACTTGGAGCTCGAACATATGGAAATTGAAAACGCGGACCCAAGGCCGCACCAAAGCCAGGAAGAAAAACCCGGAAACCGAATGCAAAATGATTTCCGGGGTAAAAATCCCGAAGAGAAAAATTTATCCAAAATAAGATTTGACAGGTATACACCTTTAAATTCCTCCCGGTCCCAAATCTGGAGGGAAGTGGCATCCACCGAGATGAAAAGGGTGGACAGACCTCGGCCACTACTGAATCAAGCTGGGCTTGATCAATCACGATATTGCGCGTTCCATGATGGCCCTGGTCATACAACCGAGGAGTGTTGGGATCTTAAAGATGCAATTGAAAGATATATCAGGGAGGGAAAGTTACGTCAGTATCTCATACGAACTCAAGGATGGAAGAACAATAAGAAGAGAAAAGGAGGACGACCGATGAGCCCGAACCGAGAGAAGAAGTTCAAGGATGAAGGCCGAGGTAAGAAGCCGACCAAAGAAGACGACAAATTCGTAGAGCTCGAGTTTGAATGCAATGTTATTAGTGGAGGATTTGGTGGAGGAGGTGATACCATGAATGCCAGGAGAAAATACTTAAGAGAGGTGCTTTCAATTCGAGAGCGGCCTAAATTCAAAGGAGAGGAATCGGAAGCACCACAGTTGTTCTTTACAAAAGCAGAGTTGGAAGATGTCATGCCGGGGCACGTTGACGGGCTAGTCATCACCGGGACACTAGTCAACTGTAAAGTCAAGAAAATGTTCGTGGATAACAGCAGCTGTGCCGACATAATTCTCTGGCAGGCATTCCAGAAAATGAACCTGGATGTGGAGGATCTGAAGCCTTGCAACACGGATTTGATGGCATTTAATGGCTGTGATACTATTCCTAAGGGGTACATTGATCTGAGGCTCACCTTGGGAACAAAGGAGGCTTACAAGTCGGAAAGGGTAAGATTCATCGTTGCCGACTTCCCATCAGAGTATAATGTGATTTTGGGAAGACCAACTATCCACGATTGGGATATGCTGGTCTCCACTAAGCATTAGAAGCTCAAAATGGTTGGTAAGCAGAATACGATCATCACCATTCATGGAGACCAAAAAGAATCTCGGGACTGTTACTTTAAGTCAGTCAGAGCAATAAGCAGTAACCTTAAAACGCCAGGTGGGTTGAGCACCAGCGATAAACCGGAAGCCTCCAAAAAAGGAACTGCACAGGTAAACATGGTGGAATTGGACATGAGGGATGAAACTCAGATCCCAAGACCGGAACCAGATGGGGAGCTGGAGGAGGTAGTTATTGGAGAAGAAACTCAAATAGCCAAAGACGGAAAAAGGCTGGCTAATGAGGACAAGTTTCAGATTACTAAGTGCTTAAGAAGGAACGTAGACGTCTTCGCCTGGAAGTCCTCAGAGATACTTGGTGTCGACCCTCAATTTTGCTGTCACAAGCTTGCAGTATACCCGGCGTCTAAACCGGTGGCTCAGAAGAAAAGGAAACTCAGTGTGGAACGTCGCCAAGTGTTAGAAGATCACATAAGAGAGCTGCTGGAAGCAGGATTCATCATAGAAATACAATATACAACCTGGCTGTCAAACATGGTCATGGTGAAAAAGCCAAATGGGAAATGGAGGGTATGTACAGACTACACTGACCTGAACAAGGTATGTCCCAAGGACGCATACCCCATGCCCAACATTGACCAGCTCGTGGATAATTCATCCGGGTTCCAGATGTTATCCTTTATGGATGCGTACTCGGGGTATAATCAGATCCAATTACACCCCGAAGATCAAGAAAAGACCGCTTTTATTGGAGAAAGGGCAAACTATTGTTATAATGTGATGCCTTTTGGATTGAAAAACTCAGGGGCCACGTACCAAAGGATGATGAATCAGGTATTTGCAGATCAGCTTGGCAAGAATGTGGAGGTGTATATAGACGATATGATAGTCAAATCAGTTAATTCAGCAATGCATGTTGAAGACCTAGAGCAGACCTTTAAGAAACTGCGGCAACACAACATTCGGCTAAACCTGGCTAAATGTGTGTTTGGAGTCCTTGCAGGGAAATTCCTAGGATTCATGCTGACTAATAGAGGTATTGAAGCTAACCCGGACAAGTGCAGAGCCGTGCTGGAAATGAAGGCCCGGGAAACAAGAAGGAAATCCAGCAGTTGACTGGAAGGCTAGCTTCTCTCACTAGGTTTTTACCTCGGTCTGTAGAAACGACACTGCCTTTTTTCAAGTTGTTACGAAAGGAGGTACAATATGGCTGGACTTCAGAATGTGAAGCAACATTCGAAGAAATTAAAAAGCAGTTGGCATCACCACCAGTGCTATCTAGCCCAAGAGAAGGGGAGCCACTGATAATGTATCTCTCTGTGGGAGATCTCGCGGTTAGCTCGGTCTTGGTTCAAGAAAATGAGGAAGGGTAGCAGCCAATTTACTTTGTAAGTCAGCTCTTACAGGGAGCAGAGCTCCGCTACCAGAAGTTAGAAAAGGTGGCTTTCGCTCTACTAACCTCTGCTCGAAGGCTTAGAGCGTATTTTCAAGGGCACTAGATTATAGTTCGGTCAAACTTGCCAATTCGGCAGGTTTTACATAAACCTGATTTGGAAGGAAGAATGATGGCCTAGGCTGTAGAACTATCAGAATTTGACATATCCTTTGAAAGCCGAAAGGCAATCAAGTCTCAAGCATTGACAGACTTTGTTAGGGAGCTCACTTCAATCCAAAAGGAGAGCTCAACAATTCCAGACACCTGGATAATTTATGTGGACGGGTCCTCAAATTCCAAAGGAAGTGGAGCCGGAATAATTATTGAGAACCCGGAAGGGATCTCGGTTGAATATTCCTTGCAAATGAAATTTGAAACATCCAACAACCAAGCAAAATATGAAGCGTTCATAGCCGGGCTACATCAGGCAAAAGAGCTCGGAGCAAGGAAACTGCAAATCTTTAGTGATTCGCAACTGGTCACGTCGCAAATTGGGGGAAGCTACCAAGCTAGAGGACCGCTGTTGGCAAAATACCTAGATTCTGCAAGGCAGTTAATGGTGGAGTTCGAAAATGTAGAATTCCATCACATCCCACGAAATGAAAATAACAGGGCCGACATACTCTCCAAACTGGCAAGTACCAGAGGATGGGGAAACCACAGGACGGTGGTGGAGCAGGACATCCCAGAACCCACGTGTGTCATGCAGATATCTGAGAGCAAAGATTGGCGTAGTACCATTATCGGTTACATAGAAAGCGGGACGCTCCCCTCAGAAGAAGCTCGGAAGCTAGTTAAGGATGCTGCGTTATACACTATGGTTGAAGGGCAGTTATATAGGAAGGGAATCTATTCTCCCCTATTGAAATGCCTAAGCTCGGATAGGGCAAAATATGTCCTATCTGAAATCCATGAGGGGATAAATGGCCAGCACATTGGGGGTAAAGCATTAGCTCGAAAAGTCCTTAGAGTAGGATATTTTTGGCCATCTATTGGTCAGGACGCAAAGGAGCACGTACAGAAGTGCGATCAATGCCAGAAGCACGGTAAGAACCTGTTGGCACCACCAGAAGAGTTAAGCTTGATCACAGCTCCATGGCCCTTCTTCAAATGGGGGATGGACCTTCTGGGCCCATTTGCTGTGGCTGAAGGACAGTTAAAGTGGTTAATAGTGGCTGTTGATTACTTCACCAAATGGATAGAAGTAGAGCTAGTAGCAACAATTACCACGGCAAGGGTGCAGCGCTTTTTTGAAAGAAATTTGATCTGCAGGTTTGGGATTCCAGCTGAGGTGGTCACCGATAATGGAACTCAATTCAAGAGCAGAACCTTCCAAGAACTAATGGAAAATCTTCACATCCGGCATCGGTTCGGGTCTGTTGAACATCCTCAATCCAACGGCCAAGCCGAAGCGGCAAACCAAGTCATCATAGCCGGATTGCGTAAAAGGATGGAGTAGTGTGCCAAAGGGAAATGGGTAGAGGAGCTATGTTATGTACTATGCGGACACAGAACCACGGTGCAAACCTCTACTGGAGAAACTCTGTTCAGGTTAACATATGGAACCGAGGCCATGATCCCGGTGGAACTGGGAGAACCATCATGGCGGAGGGCCCAAGCTTTGTCGCAATTTGAAAAAGAGAATAGCAGCAAAATAGCTATGGAGTTGGATTTGATTGATAAAGCTCGGGCCACAGCTCATTGCAAAAATGTGGCAACAAAGCAGCTCGTGGCAAACCGATTTAACAAGAAGGTCAAGCCGCGATCATTCGTGATAGGATACCTGGTTCTTCGAAGGGCGGACATCGGAGGTCGGAATGCGGCTGAAGGAAATCTGGCTCCAAGATGGGAAGGACCGTATAAAATTAAAGCTAAACTATCAAAGGGAGCCTATATGCTAGAAACCTCAA